AGGAGACCAGTTTCATTATTTTTCATACACATGTCTAATTGACCTAGAACTACTTAATGCAAAGACCTCCCTTTCATTATAATACATACTTTAGTGCCAGCTGGGTATAAATCAAGTGCCCATGTATGCATGGATAACTTTCATTGATTTATTTGATTTATCCTTGTACATGTAACCAACTGTCTTAATTATTATATTAATCTATAGTCATCAAGATTGAGTTTTTTTTCTTCTTCCTCAAGAGTATCTTGGCAATTTTTGTCCTTTTGCAACTTGATATACAGTTGACACTGAGCTTCATACACATGCACCTGTGCCCACACACGTTCACACAACCTGGCATTTTTAATTGGAATTTCACTGACTGCATCTATAGATCAATTTGAGGGGAATTGATATCTTTACAGTATTAAATATCTTAATCAGTGAACATACTATATCTTCATTTATTGAATTTTCCTTTATTTTACTCAAAAATAGTTTTGTAGTCTTTCATGTAGAGATCTCTCATATCTTTAAATGAGTTTATTCCTAGTTATTTGATCATCTAATGCTATTGGAAATGACATCTGTTTTTTAATTCTATGTTGTAAGTGTCACTGTTATATACAAATATAATCAATTTTTAAACATTGATTCTGTAACATAGTAAGCTGGTAACTAATTTGTTAATTTTAGTAATTTACCATTTGTTCTCTTGGATTTTCTACATACGTATTTATATAATGTCTAATCCATAACTTGTTTCATTCTTTCCAATTCTTAACTACAATTTATTGGACTAGGGAGTCTAGCACAACCCCAAATCAATAGAAATGTTACCAATATGTATTCTTTAAGGCAGTCAAAAATTTTTATTTTATTAGTATGTATGATACGTGATACTGATTTTCTTAAAGTACTCTTTATAAAAATAAGAAACAATTTTTAAAGCTTCTAGTTTACTGCATTACTTCTAGGTTTGTTTTGTTTTTGTTTTTCTAAGACTGGATGTTGAGCTTTATCTGTACCTTTTCTTCATCTGCCAAGATTATCACATAATTTTTCTCTTTTAGTGCTAATGTAGTGAATTACAATGATTGATTTTTGAATGCCAAGCCAATTTTGCCTTCATATAATAAACCCAATCCATTTTTTATGCAATTCCCTATTTGCTAACTTATTTATCTTTTGCATCTACAATCATGTTACATTAGCCTGTAATTTCCTTTCCTTGGAATAATTTTGTAAGGTTTTGTTATCAAAATTGTACTTTCTTTATAAAATGGATTGAATAGTTTCTTGTTTTTCTCTAACTTTAGGAAGGATTTGTGTACAAGTAAAGTTAATTACTCCCTCATATATTTGGTAGATTTTGTTAGTAAGGCCACCAGCCTTGCATATTGTGGTGGGTAAGTTTTAATTCTGGATTGAAGTCTTTAATAGTTACAAAACTATTCAAATTTTCTATTTCTTTGGGGAGAAACTTTTCCAGAAATTTGCCCATATTGTCTTAATTTTCAAACATATTGGCATAAACTTGTATGTAGGTTATCCTTCTGTTAACATCTGTAGCAATGTACTTTTTAAATTTCTGTAATATTTTTGTGCCTTCACTTATTTTCCTTATAAGTTTCAACAGCTTTTTCGGTCTTTTTAAAGGACCAAACTTCTGTCAGATCAACCTTCTTAACTATATTTCTTGTCTATTTTGTTAAGTTTTGCTCTTAATCATTTTATTGCCTGTACTTGTTCAAATTTAATTTGCTGATTTTTTTTAATGTCTTAAAATTCATGAGTAGCTCAGGCTTCTTTTCCTATAAATTACAGGCTATGAATTTCCCTCAGTACAATTTAGCTGCATCCGTAAACTAAAACTATCATACGTGAAATTTTTATATGGAATATACTTATTATCATTCTGTTCAAAGTGCTTTTTATTTCTCTGGTGATTTTCCTTGACCTATGACTTAATTTCTCATCATTTGGGGATTTTCTTGTTGTGTCAGGCCCAGCCTCATTCGGCAAGCCCTGGACCCCAATTTTGTTACCACCTAACCATTTAATGCTTTTAAAGTATTCCCGCCCAGTTGTTAGTTCCTCGACTTTCTGTTTTTAAATTGACATATGCCCCTCAAGGAAAAGCATTTCCAAATATGAGGCTATTTTTCTGGGTTATTTTCTTCGCCAGGGCTCTGGACCTGTAAAATTTACTGTCTCATTAGCTCCGCAAATGCATTATATGTTCAATTTTTCTAGTTGTTGTCAGTGGGAGGATTGTTCTGAATGGCTTCGTCCCCCATTACCAAAATTAGAAGTCAAGATTCCCATTACTTTTAATATTTGATTCCTAAGTGTAGTTATCCAATAACATTTTATTTGGATTCTACAAGAATATTTGAGCTCCTCAAATTGCAATTTTTATAACATGGATGAAAAGACTCAAGTGTTCTTTTATTTGGGTGATATCAAGGCTAAAACTTTAATAGAATGAACCTCCAATTAGCCTTTTCATTCATAAATTTATTGTTCTACTTTTGTTATACATATTAACATCTTTCAGTCTTCAGCTATCATCTTGTTCATATTCTATTATTATTTTTTCAATTAGCTATTTTGACCAGAAAAATCCTCATATGGATGTAAAAATAAATATTTAATTTTGCTTTTACCTTCAAAAGCTGAGTAAATATTTCTTTTGCTTTGAAGAAAAAAGTATCTAAAATACATTGCAACTTCTTTTGAAAAATGTGTTCCAGATATCAGATGTTAGCCTGTTCCGAATGTGTTACATCAGGAGAATAGCTTAGAACATAATGAAAGGGTCTACATTTAAAATATAGATATATTACATAGTAAGAACTAGTGCTTGTCATAAAAATATGCCTGATATTATAGGAAATTGAATCCTGTTAAGTCATTCACATATTGATAGAATTACATGACGGTAGTATATCTCTTTGAGTTACTTCCACTGAGAACATAAAACTAACTTCTTTTAGTAGTCCTATTAATAGTTCATATATAGCATTATTAGTCTAATAATATTGCCATAAAAAATAACACAGACTAGGTGGCTTAGCAATGGAAGTTTATTTCCTCGAAGGTTTAGAGGCTGGAAGTCTAAGATCAGAGTGTCAGCAGGTTTGGTGCCTCCTGAGGCCTCTCTCCTTGGCCTGCAGATGGTCACCTTCTTGCTGTGCCCTCACATGGCCTTTCTTCTGTGCATGTGCATCCCTAGTGTCTCTTTCTCTTCTTATAAGGACACCAGTCATATCGGATTAGAAGTCCACACTTACAATCTCACTTTACCTTAATTACTTATTTAATGGCTCTATCTCCAAATAACAATCACACTGTGGGTTAGGGTTTCAGGACATGAATTTGGGAGAGACACAATTTAGTCCATAACACAGCACATATTAATTCAGAAAACATTACGCTCTTAATATGGGACAGGGACTATTCCTATATCAAAAATTATAAGGGTTAGAAATACACAGAAATATGTAAAGCATAATGCATTATTATTTTTAAAAAGATAAAGGAATCAGCAGTATAGGTTGTGGGGAGTTATTTTAGATAGACTAGTGATAAAATATTTTTATGAAGAGATAGCCTGTGAGCAGAAACCTGAAAAAAATGAATGAAGACAGAATTTATGAATTAAAGAGGAGACAATTTCAGGCATAACCAATTGCAAATGCAAGGGCTCTGGGACAAATATCATCGTTGCTCTACAGAGGAAATTTCAAGAAAGCCATTGAAAGAATGGTGAGAAATAAACTCAGACAATGACCTAAGATCAATATACATAGAGCCTTGTAAGCCTTGGTAGAGATTTTTTTTTTTTTTTTAAGAGTACTGGGAAGCCACTGTAAGCTTTGATCAGTGGAATGCCATTGATCTGATTTTCATTTATAAGACCACCGTGGTAATAGACTTAGGAGTGGCACTCTCTAGAATGTAAATAAATAGGGAAAACACATAAGTAGTTCAGTAGTAGAGTTAAAGATGTCATCTTTGAATTGGGTGTCAGCAGTAGACGGGATGAGGTTAGGTAGGATTTGGGATGTAATTTGAATGTGAAGGTGACAGGACTGGCTATTGAAGAAGATGTTTGAAAATTCCTGTTTTTGGTCTGAGAAACAAAGTAAATAGCGGTGCTATTCCCTGAACTGGCATGGACTGGCTTGAAGGAGAGATAATTTGGGAATAAAATAAAAAGAGTTTTGTTTCAGATGTCATAAGTTAGAGAGGTATATTGGATTCCCAGTGAGACTCATGCAGGCTTTTATCTATAGCTCTCTAGAGAAAGTCAGGGTAGGGGGCTAGAGATACAGATTCTAATGTTACCAAAGTATACTATAGATCATATTCAAAGTCAGGGGACTCGAGATTACCCAGGGTGGGACTATGGACAGAGAACAGAAGCAGTCTAAATACTGAGCCCAAGAACACTCCAACAATTAAAAGATAGAGAAGAGGATTGTGCAACAAGATTATAAGAGTAGGAAATTAATTAAAAGTAGAACAAAGCAAATATGTGTTGCTGAAGCCAACACTAATATGTGTGATCCCACAATGATTAACAAGCTGTGTTTCTAGAGAATATAACAAAGAATAATCCTCTCAATATTATTTATTTAGAAATCTAAAAATTTGCATTATATATAGGCATAGCAGTATTAATATCACCTAATGAATATTCAAGACTTTGAAAGAAAGCATATACCTGTGATTGTAATAAAAGGGTAATTAATTACAGGATTGAATAGGAAGGAGGAAGAACTATCATTTAAACATGTTATACTATTTATCATGCTTCTTTTGGCTGGGTCTCTCATAATCTCATAAAAAGAATTAAATATGGAGTGATGAAAATATAGAGATCTATGTTGATGTTAAGCAGAATAATTTTTCACTACTTGAAAGTTAATTTGGTGTTGAATATAGATGACTTCAGACTCTCAATAAATACATAGTTGATGTTCTTTTCATCTTTTTGCTTCTTTCTACAGGTGGGGAGGTCCCGTATACAACTCTGGCTACCCGAATGATGATGGGGGCTTGGTGGCTATTTGCTTTGATTGTTATCTCATCTTACACGGCAAACCTTGCTGCTTTCCTCACTATCACACGCATTGAAAGTTCCATCCAGTAAGTAGATAATATTTCCATTAGCCACAAAGCATGAGAAATGATAGGAGTGACCAAAGCTATCTGAGAATAAGTATGTTGTGTCTTATATTACATTTACAACTTCCCTTTGAGTAAAGGATCAATTTTGTGTTACTGCAGAGCATCACTGGGTGGTCCAAGTCCTGGAAATGCAGTATTGGTAGAGCATTTTTTATAAAATACAATTTTGGCTACAATTTAAATGTTGCTTCCCACATTTTCCTGGAAGGATAACACATCTTCAGAATTTTAATGTCCACAAAGAATGACTATGACTAACATTGCGAAAAGGAAAGAAAAAAGAGTCATACTTAAAAGAAAATCTTTGCCTTGAGTCTGTCCCATTACATACTGTCAGAATAAATAGTTGAATAGATAAAGATATTTGAGAGCTAGATTGAGGATTGGGGGTTGGGCAATCAACAGAAAATCTAGTATTTCAGTAACCACATTCTGTTTTTCTTTTCATTACCTGATACTTCATGTGGTCCTTATTGCTGCTATTTACTAGCTGCAATTGAATGGTAGGAAATAGACATTAACTATGGTGCACTTATTTAAATTCTAAAAGTTACCTAAGCCACTGTCTCAATTCACAAATGCCATTTCCCTGAGCCCTTAGAGCCCGAGATCCTTTTATCCACCACAGCCAGTTTTGCTTTTGTGGCTTCATGCTATAATATCACACCACAATATAATTTCTGCCTTATTAGAACATAATGTCCTAAATATTGTTTTAAAAAAATTTTCCTGAGCATGTTTTATTCATCCCAAAACAAGATAGTTTGAATTTTCCTAAAGTTGAACACTCATTTCTCAAAAACCTGGCAATTCAATATCAGAATAATTAGATATGTCAGGGAATTCATTAGGAATGTAACTTGTTTGGAAAAGAAAATATGAGTAGTATTTTTTCTTAAAAAAGAATGTAAATTATATTCATTACTAGACATAAAACTTTTATAGCATAATATCAAAATATAAAATTAAGAATTAATTATCTACAAATAAGTGTATTTTTTCAATTTGCTCGTTATACAAATGAAACTCCCATATAAAACTAGTAATGCTAACAGGTAGTCAATTATTTTATCCATTCATAAAAATGATGTTTCTAGTTTCTCTCATCATATCATGCTGCTCAGGTTGTTTTCCAATTATTCCTTTGATACAGAACCTTCATATTCCCCCAACTTATTGTCTGTGTAACCAGGTCTATGTGTGACCTAAATTACAAATCATACAGAGTGAAACTTATACCACTGATGGAAAGCTTAAACTGGTGACCCCATAAGCATCATACCTTAAGCAATATGAAAATGATTACAACAGCCCAACCAAAAGATCAATGAAATTATTAAGAATATGAAAATAATAATAAAAATTTATTGATCACTTATAAAATGCCAGATTTTGTGATGAGTCTTTTATATGCATTAGCTCATTTAAAACTTATAATCATCTTCATAAATATATGCTATCAATAACTCATTTTATAAATGACAAAACTAAAGTTGAGAGGATAAGTAACTCACCAAAGTCTGCAGCTAGTAAGTGACTGAGTAAAGCCCAGCCTTAAATCTGGTTCCTGAGCCTACATTCTAACGCATCATGTTAGTTCCCATATGACACTTGAACTTGAATTTCTATATAGACTTTAGTTTTTAGAGAACACAAGAAAAAACTTGTCATAGCATTTTTCCATTACTAAGAGATGTAAAGGATGAAATTCTCCAAATCCTCAACTGGTCTGAGGAAAAAGAGTATCAAAAGTTAGGTGACTTGTGTTGTAGGCATGTAGGCATATATCCCAACATGAGCTAATTACGTCTATGATTGGTATCTACCATTCAGGGTAAGACTTCAGCAAATCCAATCAATAGAATTAATTAAAAAAAAATAGTTTAATTGTCAAATAAAAATCAAATATATTTAAGATATATAATGTGATGACTCAGTATACATGTCCATTGTGAAATAATCACCACAGTCAAATGTATCACTCATGCTGTGCATTAGATTCCCACAACTTGTTCATCTTCTAACTGAAAGTTTGGATCCTTTGTCTAACGTTTAATCCCCATTTTCCCTGTACTCTACCTCCTAGCAACCACCATTCTACTCCTCCTTCCAAGAGTTTGACTTTTCTATATTCTACAGATAAGTGATATCATATAATATCTGTCTTTCTGTGTTTGGCTTATTTCACCTAGTGTAACATACTCCAAGTTCATCCATGTTGTTACAAATGGCAAATAGCAAAGTAGTTTTAAAACATGAAAATGAAGTATTTTATTTCTTTAATATATTTCTTAACAATTAGGTAGAACATGTCACATTTTGAGCATCCTTAAAGCTGAAAATCTGTGTAGTTCACATCTGACTTTATTTTTAAATAAGTAATTCATGAAAACTTTAATGAAATAACTGGTCATACATAATAAACAACACTTATTATAAAAGCAGACAAAAAATTATGGTTAACATTGACTAAGAATTTATAATGAGCCAGAAGTTAAGTACATTACATGTATTATCTCACTTCTTCCACAGAATAACCTTAATAATACAAGGACTCCTCTTATTGCCATTTTATGGATGAAGAAACAGAGTTTTGGAAGATAATGCCTAAGATTACACACTCAATAAGTGTCGAGTTGAGAGTCTAACCCACATCAATCAGATACCAATCCATGGCCTTACCTGTTGAATTCTTTTTTTTTTTAATCTAGTGGTGGTTCCTTAAATTTGCTTGATCTGATATTTCTCTGAGGTTGCAGACATTGTGGTGTCTGTAAATCCGACTTACTTAGTTATACTAACTTTGCCAGCACCAGTTTTTATCTAGACATTCATGCAATAGCAGTGGGAACAGAAGCCTGTCTCAAATTTTTACATCCATAGGTTTATCTAAAAGTAAAACCTAATGGAAAAAGATTGTAATTTCACATGATATTTCCCTCAAGGGTAGTTCTACTACCCAAAGTAACTGAGCATTCATTTTTTAAAATATTATTCCTTTCCAATGCCAGCTGGCATTATTAAAAGTCATCGGTGGGTATAATAAATCTCTACTTCCTTCTAGTATTATCACTGCACTAATTTTGGAAGGAGAGCAGCAGAGCCAAATAAGTTAAAAGAAGCCAGATTTCCTCCCCAAATTTAAAGATATCTTCTAATTTCATGCTTCAACAGTGTTGGTAAACATAATTGTCTGCAGTGTTTACTTAGAAACGTTCGAAGTTTCATTTGTAACTAATGCCAAAGTTCCTTGGACAACTCTATGTCTAATTTTTCTTAGAAGAGACAATATTTTTTTCACAGTACCATTCAATAGTCATGCTTCTTCACCATTTATATTAATAATATTTGCTCATCACTAAGTGAAGCTGCAGTGCATGTTAATACACTTTTTCCAGCCCAATTTTCCTGTGCCATTGGCAAACACATACTAACGATAGCTTCTTTCCAAAATTCACTGTTGCTTCTGCAGACTGCGATGGGCAGAGGTGGTTAAGGAATGTCAGTGAAGGGGAGAGAGAGAGACGGGGTGGAGGCAGGGGGAGGAAATCAGCTTTTTTTAATTGATGGCTGACAGAAACTCTTGTAGTTTGGTAGGGGAAATCAAATAGATTGATTTTGGAAAAGCTGAATAATTTCATAAAATTTTGCTTATTTTCAAAATTAGATGTCTATGGGGCATCTACTCTAACTGGCACTTGTTTAATGAGAGTTTTGAAGGGAATTTTCCCTGGAAAAGATAACCCATAAGTTTAATTTAATATCCCTTCAATGATAGGGGCAGCACAACATAACCGTGTTCCGTGGTTTAATATGATGTTATGTGACAGAGTATGACACAGTTCAGTTTTTAAAGGGAAAAAAAAATGCCATTTCCACAAGACCCTCATGACAATTTGGGCTTTTTCATTCCCATTGAGAGATGAAAACAATTATATTTAATTGTCTTCAAACACCTACGAAATGGAATGTATTTTTTTGTATTGATAACTAGGCTAATAGCGGCAATGGTGAAATGGAGCATGTGAAGCTTTGAAGGTACTTCAGCGTAAGCACTGGGTAATGGCATCATCAACATTAATTATTTACCTTTAGTATGGTATTACTTTCAAAAAGCTACCTAGTTCACATTAATAACTTCAGAATCAGATTGGTCTTTGGTGATGAAACTTGAGTTTTTTCATTCCCAGAAGCTGCAAGTAAACTTGGGTTTACTTAAAGGTATCCCAACATCCTACCGTATTTTTATGTTTAATGCTTTCATTCTCCATAATGCTTAAGATTGAAGTAAAGAAAATATTGAAATAATGCTTCCACTGAATCAAACTAATCTGGGATAACATTGCTTTCCAAACTGACATAGAAAGAGATTTACAAATATTCTATTAATAAAGAAGACCCCTTTTCCCCTAGCATATCAATAACAGGATTTTTGCCCTCACTTTGGTCTACATTTGAAAAGGAAATAATTATTGAGCAATATTTTTCTAAGTGTTCACAAGTGAGTACGATCCAATTGTGCTTAGAAATTTAAGTATCACCAAATTTCGGTACTAAAGCCTGGGGACAGAGAGAATGGTAGCAAGTGACAGATGCTCTGTAAAGAAAATACAGGTGGCACTAAATAGTCGAGGGCATGGTGAGACTTGTTAAGGAATTTGAAATTTTTTCTGGAGGAAATGGAGGGTGCCATTATTGTAGAAAGACAGCTTTATCTATGGAGAGGAGGACGTGGGAGGGAGAAAATGGAGAAGTGTATGGGAGGTCATTAAAGGTATCTAATGCATGTATATTTACAACAATTAACTAGCATATCTCTACTTGACACTAGTACATCTCTACTTTTTTCGAGGGCTACTTAATTTGAGAATACTTAGAGGATTAAGGGTAACTTAGAAATTTGGCTCAAGACACGTTAAGTTTCTTGGCTAACGTTTATATTTGTAGTGGATGTAAGG